CCCTATTGGGGAGAGGTATAATTTTTTTGTATATTTATTTATCTAACTGCATATGAATGTTGCCATATTTAGACTTCAGTGTTCAGCTATTTAACAGTGAACTTGTGAGCTACAGTCACATTAATAAAAATAATAGTATTCAAAAAATAGAAAAACATAATAAAAATGTTTCTTTTACTTACATATATTTTGCACATTTATCAACCTATAATAAAGATGGAACAGAGTATTTTGTTTAAAACACCAGTGTTGAATCTAAAAGTTTATATGTCTTTAAAAAAATATTTGGTTAGGAAATTAGCCATAGAGTCATTGTTAAAGCGGAACTTCACTCTCTCAATCAACATGGACTATTCTTAATCCTTATGCTGCCAGCATTAGTAACTAGATAGGAAAGTATATGATATTTACTTTTTTTTTTACATTTCTTTAGTTACTTCCTGGTTTGTGTGCCTAGGCAAATGATGTCATACATCCCAGCAGTCTTCAGAAAGGGAGGGAGGGTTCTCAGCTCAGCTTGTGCCTGAACTAAGGGCAGACGGATTTCAGGAAGTGAATACTACATGAATCATCTGCCCTTACTCAAGATGGCCACTGCCAGAAATGCCAGGGGGTGTTTTTCAAAATAATTTCTAAGCAAAATAAAGCATGGAAACATGGATGGATGGGTGAGTTTGCTTTGAATATTAAAAATGCATTAAATAGCATTTTTGGCTTGTGGTGCTCAGATACAATGCAGTTCCACTTTAAGTTAATTGACAGAAGCTGACACAGCTAAGATTGGCTTGAGTTTGTAGTTATAAATGACCTCTCATTAAATGATTAGAGCAAGGTTTCATTTCTAGATCAATGCTCCTCTTTTTTATTTTATATAATATATGGGTTCTTCAAAATTGTGCAACCAAGAAAAATAAGTAGACAATATTAAAGGTTTACAAACCCTTCTATTATTTATGGCCAAGGAAGCTGCCATCTTAGCCTCTGTTTCGATCTGCAGTTGCCATAGTACTGCACGTGATCAGTTATGACACCAGCCATTTGATGACTTGACAGTTCAGGCAACCATATCAGTTACCATTCACAGCATGTCTTGAATGTAACTGTTTTGGGAAACAGGTATCATTCCACTTTAACTAACTTCACCTCATATATTACCGAAACCCCAATTTCAGCCAAAACCTTTTCTTCCGGTTGTGTATAGCGAGTCAAAAATTAGAACTTTTTTTTTTTTTTAAAAATACAGTATGGAATAAAAATGTACCGTATTTTTTGCCGTATAAGACGCACCTGACCATAAGATGCACCTAGGTTTTAGAGGCAGGAAACAGGAAAAAAAAAAATTCTGAACTAATGGACTGCAGACACAGTACAGGAGATGACCAGAGACTGCGGACAGCACAGGGATGACCAGAGACTGCGGACAGCACAGGGATGACCAGAGACTGCGGACAGCACAGGGATGACCAGAGACTGCGGACAGCACAGGGATGACCAGAGACTGCGGACAGCACAGGGATGACCAGAGACTGCGGACAGCACAGGGATGACCAGAGACTGCGGACAGTACAGATGACTGCTGACCTTTGGGGAGGTGGGGAGCGGGTACCTGAATTTGACAGGTACCCGCTCTTACTTCCGCAGAGTTTTTGTTTGATCTTACCTGTTCCTCGATCCAGCCGCGCGCTGTCTTCCCGGCTTCTGTAATGGCGCTCGGCATGACAGCCGGGTGCCCAGTGCGCATGAGCGAGAAGCACTTGCGCTTTGTGATTGGTCCGGCGGGTTCTGGGATCTGTCATGTGTCCCAGGTACCGCCTTACCATTCACAAAAAGCACCGCTTCTTGCGCATGCGCACTTGGCACCCGGCTGTCATGCCCAGTGCCCACAATACAGAAGCCGGGAAGACAGCACGCCGCTGGATAGAGGAACAGGTAAGGTCCCGCTGCAGAGCTGAGCGGCGGCCCGGCCCGGTATTCTGACACGGCCGCGGTGGAAATACCGGACCGGCCGCTCCATATTCGCTCCATAAGACGCACTGACATTTCCCCCCCAGTTTTGGGGAAGAAAAAGTGCGTCTTATACGGCGAAAAATACGGTAATTGATTATGTTTGAACATTATAGCACAGACACTGGCTAAACAGATCCTAGTATAAAACTGCTATATCGGACGCTAATTGCTTTCATTTTCAGTAAAATGATGTTACATAGCAGCCTTTTCCTGTACTGATGTTCTGTAACTGTTAGGCTCCATGCACACTGGGCGTTTTAATAATGCTGGCAACGTTAGCTGTGTAGAGTCACGTTAAAAACGTGAGTTTTTCAGTGTGTTTTAGCATTTTTGTATTAGCGGTTAGCTGTGTTTTTTTTGTTTTTTTAACCTGTTTTGCTGTGTTTTTCAGCGTTAGAGTGTTTTTTACAGCTAAAATACTCCATTAATCCACTAGTTCTGGGGTTTTTTTTTCCAGCCAAAGAATGCCCCTGCCAAAAACCGCTGATTACAGTCTATGTGTGCATGGACACATAGGATAACATACTGGGGAGTTTACTGACTGTAGAAAAGAACGTGAAAAGCCAAAAACAGCAGCTGTAAAAACATCAAGTGTGCAGGAAGACTTAAAGTAAAACTGTTGAAGTGAAGCTAAACCCACAGATTTAAAGGCTAAGTTCACATAAAAAAAATAGCCTATTCAGTCAAGGGGCCCCAGTAGATATGAAAAATGTGTCTAGCTTTGTAAAATGATCATTATTTTTATTGTTTTACTTGAAGGCCATTTGGATACCCTCAGAAGCCTGGTTAAAAAAACTCCTTGTTAGCAACCCCTACGTTCTGAATTGTTACTAAGATGCGAAAACTACTGGTCTTTACTCCTGCAGTGCAGGTTTTCTCTTGAAGGAAATTTACCTTCATTTACTGGTATGTCTGATACTTGTCACTTGGGCAGGAAGTGAAGATAATTCTCTCCAATATGGACAAAGACAGCAAGAAAAACCAGAGGTTCTAACATTTCACCACTATACTAAAAATAGTTTTACTGGTGTCTGTATCTCTTTTGGGGACATTTGTCCTCACTGTGTATACCTATAATGACAACACATCTATTCTAAAGACAGAATTACAAAATTAACAGGTATTTTTGCAATACTTAAAAAGATATAAAAACACCTTTCAACTGGATATTTAACAGGAAAGAAGAAAAAAGCAACCGAATGCATGTGCTCCTGCGCTGGACAGTGGACTCCACAGTGTCAATTTCTCCACATGTGTAGGAAAGGAATGCAAGCCTTGCTGCCCTCAACGGACCAGGGAAATCCAAAGAGGACTGTATATAGGAAACAAAAAGAGGGCACACGTGCCCGGTGCATTACCTTAAAAATTGTGATTTATTTATAATAGTAAAATACTCACAAGAGAAATAAAATCAAATGGAAAACGTCACAAAGGAAGAAATGTGGTCCAAAAACCTCTGATGGTGGTCTGGTGGGGGACTGTAGACCTCTAGATACCTGGTGGCTGACGCGTTTCGAGGTTGTACCTTTGACTGGCTCTGAGGAAGAGGTACAACCTCAAAACATGTTAGCCACCAGCTATCTAGAGGTCTACAGTCCCCCACCAGACCACCTTTAGGGGTTTTTGGACCACATTTCATCCTTTGTGACAAGCTTTCCATTTGATTTTATTTCTCTTGTATTTTACTATTTATAAATAAATCACATTTTTAAAGGTAATGCACTAGGCCTATGCGCCCTCTTTTCTATATACTGTATATTTAACAGGTTAAAATGGAGCAAATAAGAGAAGTTTAATATTAGGGTTACATATACTTTACCGTTAACATTTACAAAAACTATGTTTGGTATATAATACTTGCACTCTACAAGCCTTCTTTATGCACCATTTATTGTTTGCAGTATATGAAATGTGCTTTTAACACCATTAAATTTCATCTTGCATGGTTTTCTTTTGTCAGCGCAGAGGAGAAAAATAGTTGTTTTGTAAAATTATTGTAGAAAATAAGTAAGAACTGACATGCTCTTGACAACTCGGATCTCCACGGATTTAGATTCACTGTAAACAAAGTATGAAAAAATAAAGTTGATAACATAAGTCTATGAAAAAAATGGGAAATGTATCTACTGTATGGATTTTTACTTATATAAAAATGTGCCTATCTTTTTATATGGAAAGTAAATTGAAAGCCTAGTGGAAAGTTATAATCAATTTTTTCAGTCAAGACAATAAATATTTTAAGAGCATTGAGATAAAGAAAACGCAATAGCAAGCAGCAGGACATCTGTTTCCAGAGTTATAATTCAGTTACATTAAATGAAATTTTTATAAAATGCAGTGGGATATTACATGCAACTTTTCTCTATATGTTATTAAATGGTTTGTAGAGGCAGAACATGAAGCACAGAGTTAGCTGAGTACACTGCTAAAGGCATACATATTAGAAGGAGTATAACTATTTCTTAACCACCTCCCTATGGGGACATTGTACTGACATGGCCACTAGGGGGAGTGGTTATTCTTAGGAGATATTGAACCCTTGCCCTCCAAAGGATTTACCCTGCTTCCTGACCAGGCCATTTATTGTGATACGGTGCTGCTTACTTTAACTGACAATTATGCGGTCATCACTGCACCTAAATGAAATTGATGTGCTTTTTTCCCCCCACAAATGGAGCTTTCTTTTGGTGGTATTTGATTGTTTTTTATTTTTTTTGCGCTATAAACAAAAAAAGACTGACAATTTTGAAAAAAACAAACAATATTTTTTACATTTTGCTATAAAATATATTCAGTAAAAAAAGTAGTAAAAATCTAATTTCGTCATAAATTTAGGCCAAAATCTATTCTGCTACATGTCTTTTGCTAAAAAAAAATCCCAATACGTGGAAATTATTAGGTTACATGAAAGTTATAGCGTCTACAATTGGCGGTATATATATAAATATATATATATATATACTGGAATTTTTTTAATACTAGTAATGGTGGCGACTCATAGCGGGACTGCGGCGGGCATTCTGACACTGGGGCGGAACTGACTAATTGCCACTGACATCCCCACTGACACTAACACAGTGATCAGTGCTAATAAAAAGCACTGACACTGTACTAATGACACTGGGCAGCAAGGGGTAAACATCTGGGGCGATCAAAGGGTTAACTGTGTGCTGTTTTTCTATTTTGTTTGCTTTACTGTTCAAACACGCTGCTTTGTATTGCTCTGCTATGCAGAGCAATACAAAGCAGCATGCTGATGCTGACAGCGGAGAGATCTGTATTGTTTACATACAGACCTCTCCCCTGTCAGTGTTCATCGGCAATTGCCGGATGCCGGGGAGGAATCTCCAGACAGGACCCGGTGATTGACAGCTGTAGCCACCAATTGCAGCACGGGTAGGAGCGGCACACATGCGCGCCCTCTACCCAGAAATACAAAATCATGTATATATACGTGATTTTGCGCAGCCCTACTGCCCTGTAGCAGTACTTCTGATTTAACTGACAAATTGCGTGGTCATGCAACGCCGTACCCAATGAAGTTTACGTCCTTTTTTCCCCCACAAATAGAGCTTTCTTTCGGTGGTATTTGATCGCCTGTGCGGTTTTTATTTTTTATTGTTTTTAATTTCTGACAATTTTGAGAAAAAACAATATTTAGGGCAGAATGTATTCTGCTACATGTCTTTGCTAAAAAAAAATAACAATACATGTAAATTAATTGATTTACATGAAAGTTATAGCGTTTACAAATGGTGGTATATATACTGGAATTTGTTTTTTTATATATACTAGTAAGGGTGGCAATAAGCGACTTATAGTGGGACTGCGACAGGCAATCTTACACTGGGGAGAACTGACTTGGTGTTACTGACATCCCCAGTGACACCAATACAGTGATCAGTGCTAATAAAAAGCACTGACACTGTACTAATGGCACTGGGCAGGAAGGGGTTAACATCAAAGGGTTACCTGTGTGGTGTTTCACAGTATGTGTTGTGTGTGTGCTTCACTGTAAGCACACTGCTTTGTACGGCTCTGCTTTGCAGAGCCGTACAAAGCAGTGTGCAGGAGCTGACAGGGGAGAACTGCATTGTTTACATACAGTTCTCTCACCCTGTCTGTATTACTCGGCAATCACTGGGTGCCGGCGAGTAATCACCGGCCCGGACCCAGTGATTGACAGCCGAGGCCGCAAATGGCTGTCTTGTGCGCGCCCCCTACCCGAAACTGCAAAATCACGTATATATACGTGATTTGGAGCAGCCGTGCCGCCCTGGAGCAGTATTTCTGCTATAGGGCGGACTGCAAGTGGTTAAAGGACATACCCTAAAGGACCTACTTACAATAATACATATTTTATGCATAGGCAGGCAGAGACGTATGCAACAGTAGATAACTGGAGCTTATTGACGCCAACTATTCAACAAGTGGTGCACATCTTCCTCAGACTGTATTTTTGGTATTTTATATTTAAATGTTTCGTGGATTTCGAGGTGGAAGACGAGTCTATGTCCGAGTTACCTACAATGTTGAAGTCTCCACCGATGATGAGTTTCCCTTGTTTAAGTGGAGAGATGATTTTGTAAAGTTTGCGGTAGAAACGTAGCTGTTTGCAGTTCGGGCCATAGACATTCACTAAAATATAGGTCTTGTCGTTTATTTTACACACCAATATATGGTAGCGGCCTTGTGTGTCCGCCGTCTGTGATAGGATATGGAGTGAGAGAGAGTCATTAATGGCCGTAATCACTCCATTTTTCTTTTTGGGGTTATTTGCCATGAACAGCTGGGAGAAACGATGAATGTATAGTTTGGGAGTCTTTTGGGTAGCGAAGTGTGTTTCCTGTATAAAGAGTATGTCCGCTCGTATCTTCCTTGCTTCTTTGGATAGTAGTGATCGTTTATATGGTGAATTTAGGCCATGTACATTTAAGGATGTGAGATTAAGCATTGGTAAACGTGGTTTCCAGCTTTTCCGTAATCTGGTGTGATATTTGAGAGAAGTGCATGATGTTGTGTTTACCAAAAAAATAGGTATTCAGATGAGGGTGGTAGGACGTTCGCTCAATCGGAGCATTGAGGGGAGTGTTCCATGAGGAGTTGAGGTAATTAACACTTGGGTCTTGAGTGGGTGTCCAGTGGTGCCAAGGGGAGGGAAATGGAAGGATAAAGTGAACAGTAAAAAACATTTGCAAAAAATGCAAATATGACAAGTAGCCAACATTGCTACTTTAAAATTGGGGGATGCGAAAGGACTTGACCGCTGGAGGAGTCAAGCCTATTATAAACACGTAGTACGAACTTCAATGGGTCTAGGCCGAACGCCAGAAATATCAGGTTAAGAAGTGGCTCCTGGGAAAAACTGTGAGCATGTTACAGTAGAAAATATGTCTTGTAAAGGTCATGTTGCTTCCATAGAGCTATGCGCGGGATCTTGTGTTTCCGCAGGGAGGATATTCCAGGTTTTCAGTAAATCCAGGCCTGCCTCCAGTGTTTTAATAGTAAAAATCTTACCATGTTGCCGCACCGTTAATTTGGTGGGAAACCCCCATTGGTAGGCTATACCGTGGTTTCTGAGGGCCTTGGTGATGGAAACCATTCTTTTTCTGTTGAGGAGGGTAGCTTTAGATAAATCAGCATATAGGCGGAGATTTGCATGAGATGGCGGTAGTGGCGGCGGATTCCGGGCCGCCGACATAATTTTTTCTTTTACATGGTAGAAATGGATGCGGGCTAATACATCTCTAGGGATGGTAGCCGATAAGAAGGAGGGTTTCAGTAGGCGGTGCGCACGATCAATTGCGATCTCTATGTCAGAGATTGATGGATGGAGGATTTTGATGTAGTGCTGTATGTATGGTAATAGGTCGCCATTAGTGATAGATTCAGGAATGCCTCTGAACTTAATGTTATTGCGGCGTGATCTGTCTTCCAAGTTGGCTAGTTTCATGTTGATTTGCTCAATATCGGTTGAGTGATCTGCATGTGCGTCAATCAAGTTGTTGTGCGCCGTGATTATGTCTCCATGTTATTTTCAATGTGGCCTATTCTGCGTTCTTGTTGCTGTACTATAGTTGATAGTTGGGAGAGCGACGTAAAAATATCGTTGTGTAAAGAGTGGCGCAAGGATGTAAGCATGCTTTTCATGCATATCTCCGTCAAGGGTATGTCAGACGCAGGGAATGCGTCTATGTCAGGCATGGCTGTATGAGAGGGTTGCAATAGGGGGTTTGCGGCCTGATATGTTGTACTGGGGTCCTGATCTAGCCGTGGCCTGGATTTAGCTGGGCTGAGTGATGTAGGGGACAGTGGGGGTGACAACTCACCAGGGTCCCCAGGGTAGAGAGGGTGTTGCAGCCTGGAATCCTGTTGCTGGGCTATGTAGTCTTCCTGCTGGGCGCTGCTGTTGTCCCCCTGCTTGCAGCCGCGGGCGCCATCTTGGATTCTCGGCCCGACGGCCGGGAAGAATTGTGTGAGTTTCCCGGGCTGATCGGAGGATTTTTTCCTCCGCGGCATAGCTGAGGAGGTGCGGGCACTTTATAGCAGTGCAATGGAGCCGGTGTGCAGTCCCAGGGCCGGTGTGAGCCGCTCGGTTACTGGCGGGTGGACGGCGCTGCTCTCAAAGCACGTCCACCATCAGAGCCGGCCGCGCATGCATCTATTTTTGGTATTTTGATTCTCAGAAAGCAAGCACATTTCACCATGCATGTGCCATTTATCACAACAGGGGCTAAGGTCATCAAAGCATCCTTGATTTGCTTTTATAAGCTTTGCCTTCACTTATATACTGGAATTGACTCAATCATATTCAGCAAAAAAATTAATTTTCATTACAACAAAAGCCAGATTTTTGCATAGCCTACAAAGACAGCGGCATGGTAAGCTGGGTTGTCAGTGACACACAGCCAACCACACATTTATTTATTTCAGGTACTTATATAGCGTTGTCAATTTACACAGTGCTTTACACATATGTATTGAACATTCACATCAGTCCCTAACCCTCAAGGGGTGTACAATCTAAGGTCCCTAACTCACATTCATACATACACATACTAGGGCCAATTTAGACAGGATCCAATTAACCTACCAGCATGTCTTTGGAGTGTTGGAGGAAACTGGAGCACCTGGAGGAAACCCACGCAAGCACAGGGAGAACATGCAAACTCCATGCAGGAGGTGCCATGGTCAGGAATAAAACCCAAGACCCATTTACTGCAAGAGCAGACGTGCTAACCACTAAGCCACTGTGCCACCAACACATCATGGTAATATCAATAACACTTTTCTATGGTTGCAGATTGATGTCCTGCTTGCCAGTGGAAGCTTGCAGTGCCCTCAGCGTGCCTGTCCCTGAACAAATTGTGCCTTACTGTTGACGGGCTAGTGCCCTGTGTACTTGCAGTTCACCCACTCTGGGTCTGTACATTGGGAACCAAAGTGCTAGCAAACTAGGGCAACAGTTTTTCAAAATTTTTTAAGCCACAGCATATAGGTGTACAGACTAGTGGAGGACAAAGTACTCCTTTCAGTCTTTACACCCCCAGCCTCAGTGTGGCTTGTATGTCATCTACGCTTACTAATGTACACTAGGATCAGCCATTCATCTTGTGTAGTAAGGGGACAGCACAAAACAGTTTATGTAGGAGAACAGGATTTGGTCTTAATTACCATGCTACATACTGTTCTACTTTTTTGTACCTGCAGCTTCTACCCAATTACAGGATATGGACATGAGCTTTCCTAGTAAACCCAATCATTTGTTTACTTGCAGAACTCCAGGCACACAGTGCTTTTGAAAATATTTTTCGCAGAAAAAGGTTATTACTATTGATGTTAATCCTAGGTCTGGATTTTTGCTCAGAAAAGTCATTAATACTTTTATTCAGGCGGGGATGAAAATGTAGTTTTTTGCACTTCAGGCTGCTGCTGTGAGAAAAAAAAAATCAGCAAAAAATAGTTGAGGGATGAACAGATGAATGATTTATTCATACATAGCTTCCTTCATATAGGACCTGGCTGTGAAACCTGTCTCTAAAAGCTGCCGCAGGCGGGAGGGTAGGTAGCATACAGGAAGAAGAGAGCGTAGGTTGGACCTCGGGAATGTGCATGCATGCTTCATTTTATAGTCCAGAGGCTAAAAAGTTGCAGTGATGAATGGTGCAGAATGCAGTGTATTACAATAATACCAGTGGACTCTGATCTTCTCCCTAGCAGCCTGTTCTGGGCAGATCAATGTAAGCCAATCTAAATCCAAATGCAGCCCCTCGAAGATGACCACTAAAGTCAATGATTTAAGATATTTAAAATATATTATGGGCAATCCTAGGTCTCCTAGCAACCAACTTCGGTTTCCAGTATAGATAGGATGCTGCTATTGTACACCACTTTTGCAACCAGTCTTATTGTTAATTCTACATCTTTCAAGCCACCACTCAGCCCCTTTCAGTCCACTAGTAATTGAAATCATTTGCTTGTTGCTGTCTCCATGCTATTAAGACCCCCCCCCCCATCATTATACTGGCACTGACAAATAAGAGCTTCACATGGCAAAAACATGTCTTTAATCATATGAAGTAATATGTGCACTTTTTTTATTCATAGAAAAACCACAAATTTTCAAGTTCATTCTATTGCATTTCATAGGATTATCTTCAGCCAACAAAACAAACCCATATAATACATTGCAAACTATAAACATCACAAGCTGGCTGGGATTTATTAAACGAGCAGCAGAAAAATTATTATAGAAATAAAACAATAGATATTGTTATTGTTTAGGCTGTAAAATTTCCAAGCTTTAATTACAAAGCAATGCTTGAAAAATATTATTGGAAGTAAGAGGCAATAAAATCTCAATGGGTTTTTACACTTTCCATGTTTTGGAAATTCAAAGCAGATTTGTGCCAGCGGTAGAGATTCTCATAACATTTAAATGCTTGATATACATTTATGATTCATATTCTAGACCTTTTTCAGGAAAGTGTGACCCCTGTCACACACAAAACATAGGGCATCTTTGAGTTGTAGGCAGTCCTTATCAATGGACAATGCACATTAAGTACAAAAAACACAGTGTTGAGAATATTCAGCACTTGCAGAAAAATACAGCTCAACATCAATGACCTGGGGACATGGTGGGCACAAATCTCTTAGGT